AGGAAGAGGGAAAGGTGGGTTTGACGAAGGAGGAGAGGTTTGTGCATCCCGTTAATGTTGACACTTGATGTTGTCTGCACGTTTCCAGGGCTGCTGGTAGTGAGGCGCTCCGCTGTGACAGGGACGAGGCTGTTGCTGGCTAAAGGGCTGAAGTCTGGAGGGGTATCCTTGATGGCAGGGCTGGAAGGGTTGGTACTGGACAGGCTTATTCCAAGGCCAGTTACGTATGGGTTGGGTAGCAGTCCATCCCATTCTGCACACAGTAAGACAAACTTTATGGATGTTTTCTAATTTGTTGTCAGACTTATGAGTGGAAAATATCCATGCCATCAAAAGGCATATTCTTGATACGCTGCTTGGATTCTTGTGGGAGGTTTTCAGCTCTCAACCAGGTGTGGCGCCTGAGTGCCACCGCACCGACGAGTACCCTCGAGTCGCAATCAACATGATGCTTTGCCATAGTCATGGTGCTTAGAGAGCAGCATTTATTTACTGATTTATATCCTGCCTTTTTCCTACAAAGGGCTCAAGGCAGCTTACATCATTCTCCTCCTCCATCTTATCCCCACACCAACAACCCTGTGAGGTAGGTTGGGCTGAGAGTCTGTGACTGGTCCAAAGTCACCCAGTTGGCTCCATGGCTGAGCGGGAACTAGAACTCAGATCGTCTGATTCCCAGTCCCATGCTCTTAACCACTACACCACACTGCCTCCCTGATGAAGATGTAGGCCACTTCTCTCTGCTGGTCCAGAAGGAATGCAGCGAGGGATTCAATCTTCTGCCACAAAAAGTATTGGTAGTGGGCCACTGTGGCTTTGTAGTTGGAGATGCGAAGACCGAGTCCCATGGCGGTGCAGATCCGGCAGAACATCATGTCAATCTTCCTCCCCTCATGGTCAGTCGGTGCAGAGTGCTCTCTGGAGTGACAGTCCTGGGTGGATTCAGTAACGATGTAGTTTGGTTGAGGATGCTTTAGAAGGAAGGGACTGTCCTGCTCCCTGACTTTGTATATTAACTCAAGGCGCCAGGAGGTAGGGTGAGGATGGTTTGGGAGTTGCCAAGATTCTATCATCGCCTGTCGGGGTGTTGATATGAAAGGAATGGCTACTGGAACAGCGTCCTCCTTCTGGACCATATCGTATATGTTGTCCTGGTGAGGAACGATGTGCTGTTGTATGTCGATTTCGAGGAGGACATACAAGCTAGCAGTTCCAAGAAGTGGGCAATCCCGGGCCTTGAATTGATATAAAAGCATCAGGAGATGTCGAAGCCTGTTGAGACTCCTCCGAGTCTGAATCAGATTGATATGGAGGACTCAAGGGGGAAGAGCCATTGGGAGACATGTGCAGACGAGTGACAGCCACAGCAGATGTGAATGGAGCATCCCTAGATGTCAATGGAGGAGTAGAATGCTGGTGACACATTGATGGTGGTGGGTAGGAATAATTGTACGAGGGGGGATAGAAATCCCACAGATAGACGTGGTCCATCTGGCCAGGATCGAAATCCCCATAAGGTAAAGGCATCCAGCATCTAGAGGGCTGTTGGGTCGGAGCATGCAGTGGAAGGAATGAGGATGGATGATGTGATGTCCTAGGAGATGCCTCTGGCAATGACTGGCCACCTGGAATGGGAGTCGGCGATCTTGTGGTATGCTGATCAGGACCTGATGGAGGAGGTGATTCACGGATCTCCCTGTCAGATATAGAGGCTTGTGCCACTGGTTCCGGGCATTCTGGGCTGGAGTGAGGAGAAACTACGACGTGCAGGGGTGATGATGGTGGCTTCACCTGCATAACTGATTGGCAACCAGACAGTTCGGTCAGTACCAAGATGGGTGGCAGACTAGAAGGACTTGGATGAGGCACTCGAGGGTGTTTCTTGTGCTGGCGCTCCATCTTATTCTTTTTAGGGTGCTTTGGTTTTGTAGCCCCATCGGATCCGGTATGCTTCCGCTTCTCATGCTTTTTAGAAGGAGACTGAGTGGAGCGTTTGCCATCAGTATCGACGTTGTCCCCTTGGAGTGGATGAGAGGGAGTGCTCTTAGCAGAACCAAAAGTAGCAGATGAGGCAGCCACCCTGACCTACTTCATTGCAACGAGAGCTTGGTCCCACATCATTTTCTTCAATCTATTCTCTCAATTCTTTCTAGCCTGCCTTGTGAAGGACTGACAATGGCTGCACTTGTCCATTCTATGGCCCTCTCCGAGGCAAAGGAGGCAGATCAGTTGGAGACATTTTTGCTCCACTCTGGGTGCACTTATGGAAAGCTGCCCACTGTGCCATCGAGAAGAACAAGAGAGAAGGAGATAAAATCATAAAGTAAGGAGACGAATTTTGGGTTTTTTTTTGTGGGGGGAGATAGACTCTGGTGGGGAGGGGAAAGGGAAAAGTAATGACAAGGTTAGAGGGAAGCAAACAAGCTAGTGAGTGAAAAGGGTAGGTTATTGAGAGTAAAGCAGAAAGTGAAAGAGCAATCAGAGTGAAATGCTATTGAGGAAAAAAGGCAACGAGATAAAGAAAAGAGCCAGAGGCACAGTGAATGGCACACAGTGAATGGCAGTCACAAGCAGACTGGCGAAGGGGTGGGTACTCCACCCATTTATGCCAAGCCAGTTGGGGGGGATGTGGAGTTCCCGCCAAAACCATTAAAGCTGTAAAATCTTCCCGGCAACAGGCAACTTGCATTAAACGTAATGTACAAGTGCCCTGATAAGAGCTCAGATGCTTGCTCAGAAAAGCAACCTCTATTGAAATGAATGGGGAAGCTGTTTTAGGCAAGGGAGCACCATATTTATTTACTGTGTCTCCAAAATGCATTAAGTATTTTACAAAACTGAAGAATTAGATATTTTCCTCAACATAACATACTTTCAAATTCTCTCTCTCTCTCTCTCTCACTGTCCATATATATATATGAAGTTCAATTGCTAAGAGAAGGTTTTATTACTCTGCAAGAAACATACAAATACAAATATATGGAGTAACTACATTAAGACAGCTTCAGAATAAAAGCAGAAACCAGATATAGTAGAAGATACAGTTCAGAGGTTATATGGGTATGTATGACAAGCATTAATACAGGGCAGTTCAAAGATGCAAGTGCAAAGCTTCTACTATGAATTCTAATTTAAAATAAACTAACTTGTAAAGTTCCATTAAACACACACACACACACACACACACACACATACATACATACATATGCATGAATGTATGCACCCACACACACACACATTGTATGTATACGTACAAAATACACTTCACATTTTGATGAAAATGGTTACACAGTCATTTACATTTTAATTTCAATATATTTAATGGTAGCATCTATAGAACATTTAAAAAGACTTCTCCCCCACCCCATCCCAATGTTTCAAAGTAGGAAGATAGAAATGTTTGGCTATTGCTTGTTAGCATGTAACAATTAGACATGTGCAAATTATGAAATAAGTACAAATAAACTAGAAAATAAATAAACAATTCAATTTTGTGTACTTGGTATCATACAGTATAGTGTGGTGGTTAGAATGTTGGGCTGAGCCCATGAGATCTGGGTGCTAATTCCCATTTGGTTTGAAGCTTACAGGGTGACTTTGGGCCAGTCACTCACTCTTAGCCTAACCTACCTCACAAGGGCTGTTGTGAGGATAAAAAGGGGCTCACAAGAGGAAAAAAGATAGGATAATGCAATGTAGTAGGAGTAGTAATAATAGTGTCCTAGTGGAATAAGGGAAAATAATCCAGTCCTTGGGGCACCAGTGCAGAGGTGCAGAAGCAATCAAGTGCATAAGGAGTTCCAGGGAACCATGGAATGCAGATTTCTTTGGTCCCTCCCCACCCCATGTAACTGTCTTGTCAGATATATAGTAATGGCAGGAATTCTGTACCTTTTAGCAGAGAATCCAGCTCAACTGATCTATGTGCTCAGAGGAGCAAATCTTCATTGGGGGTGGAGTGGCATATTTGGTCCTCCAACTTGACAGCATGTGCTTTGTGGGGCTACACCCATGCTTTTCAGTAGCAAAAAAAGAATCAGGCGGTCTTTGTTCCAGACTTTGTTATGATACGTAATGAGGAAGTAATGACGAATCATGTGTGCAAGGATTTTGAAAGGGGTATCTTGGAGGTTTACTAGGAAAACTACACAACTGTATTTTCTTGATATAAAAAGGCAGTAAGGTTTATATAAGGCTTCTGCACCACAGACAGACAAACAACAGCTTGTTCTCAGTTTTATTTCTGTGCATGAAATCTGGACCTTAGGAAATGCTGATATATAGGCTTTGGCTTATGGAAGCTGGCCATATACTTACCACTGTCTGCAACATGGACAAATAGAAGCCAGAGAATCAAGGACTACAGAGGTCAGAGTGGGTGCTGTCCTCTCCAATACCATGGTCTAGACCAGTGGTTCCTAAACTGTTTTGGTCATGGAACCTTTCTGAAAACTATTTTTTCCATGGAACTTTAATTCTATCCTTGATTTTTATTAAATATTGTGAATCCACAACATTCTTTCTTCTTTAATCTGCTCCTATTGTCTGAGTGCTTTGCACATTGTAGTAGGTTTGAAAATAAAAAGAATAAAAAGATTTTAAATATAACAAATAAATGAAGAGATTATATGGCAATATCCCAAATGAATGCGTTTGATTATTCCCAACATTATGCAATCGGGTCCTAAGAACCAAATGATGTGATGCATTTCCTTGTTTGCTGCTTGGACGCCAACTGACAATCGAATAGTTGGGCTTGTGCAGTTTCATTTTAAAATCTGTTTTAAATTTGATTTTTGAGATTTTTCACCAAACCCCTGCGAGGCTTTTGTGGAACCCTAGAGTTCCATGGAACACAGTTTGGGAACTGCTGGTTTAGACATGTTCAAAACACAGGTTTCATTTACATTTTCTGCATGTTGACAGTTGATGCAATAAGAAATGAAACAATAGTGATGGGGAATCACTTCTTATGAAAGACAATTAAAATCTGGAAATACCTGATTTGAATTTCTCACAGGTAGTTTTTTCCTGATTATCTGTTAATAAAACAGGAGGTGAATGCTTGGCTTCTGCAAGAGTGCTTTTGTCTGAAGAAGGTGGCGTTGGTGGCAGTAACGTACTGTTAGGGCTGTTAATGTCTCCCTCAGCCACCAGGGTCAAGTCTGCAACATTTTCATCCTCAACAGTTTGTATATTTTCAACTTGCAGTTCTTTCGATTGCATTTTCCATATGGAGGCTTCCTGCAAAAGCAGAGCTGGAGACAGTGGAGCACTAAACGGAACACTGCAAGTCTTCTGGCTGATAAAAGTTGCTGGTAGTTTCTGTTTACTTCCTGAAAGATTAATTTGCATACTTGAGCTTTTACTACTATTTTTCATGAAGCCTACTTTGCCACTTAACTGTGTAAATTTGTCATTGACATCAGGATGTGTGATTCTCTTGGTGTAGCCTGGAGGTCCTTCAGGTGTAGAGCAAGGAGGTTCTGTCCCAGAGGAAGGCAAGTGAAGAAAATCAGGCAAAATCAGATCTTCTTTTCTCAGCAGCCCTCGTTGGTCATCAGCTCTGTTACTTTGTACTTTTGATATGAGTTCAAAAAATTCTATTGCAAGAAACCCAGAATACACCTGATTTAGTCAACATTGCAACATTCCATGTCCCCACCCAGTTATTTACTTTGTTTTTTGCTAACTGAATGTCTTTTACTTCCTCCAGTGCTTATCAGCAATTCCAAAACAAAGAACAGCAAGATTCCGAACATTTATCAGCATTCTGTACTGAAATTCCTCCATCTCAAATGATACATTATATAAATAAATTCTACAAAGGTAATACTAATCCTAAACTCCCAGTGCTTTAATATATGCAAATAGTACATATTTCTTGTTCTAATAATTCATGCCATAGTACTCTGAATTTGCATTTTTGTCCAATACAGATTTGCATGCAGGTGTGTGGTTATACACACATATATTAATTATTCCCTATCCCTATTCATTTTGCTACACCACATTGATGAAGGCTTTTAAAAACAAGACTTTACAATATTAACAATCAAGGATGCAGTTAAGGTTATGGACCAGCTTAAAATACATTTAACAGAATTTGGAAAAATAATGCGTTTACAAGTAAATTGGGACAAATCAGAGATGATGTTATTGAATTGTAATAAAGTGGAAAAGTATGAGATTAAAAGCAAGTTAGAAGTTAAGATATGTAATAGTATTAAGTATTTAGTAGTAAATATTACAAAAGTTTGCAATGTTTAAAAGAGAATAATTTTAATCAGTCAAAATATGAAGTGAAAGAGAAGATGAATGATTTTAAGAAGAATGGTCTATCATCGTTGGTACAATGGCAGCATTCAAAATGAAGATTAATTTCTTGCTTTTGATTTTAGTAATTAAGTTAACAGAGATTTGAATGGCAAAATATGATTAATAAATTTTGTAGTGAGGATAAAAAAGCAAGGATCAATAGAAAAAGATGGTATATGACCCAGAGAATGGGGGGGGGGGGTTAGGCATTCCCAATGTGGAATTTTATTTTATAGCTAATCAACTGAGGCATATACCAGATATTATAGCGCAACCTGATAATATGGGGTAAATTAGAGTATCAAGATGTAAAGGGATCCTTATTAAATATTTTTCTTCATCAAGAGAATAAGAATGTTATTAAAAAGATAGGAAACCCATTTTAAAGAATATTGTTAAAATTTGGAATAAATATAGAGAAATTTTTATCCCATCGATTTCACCATTATAACCAATTACAGAATTTGAAAGATTCCCAGTAAATCTGAGGAGTAATTTGAAGGACGTATTGAAGAGTAAACATGCTATTAGGTTGAAAGATTAGTTAAAGAAAATGAAGAGTAAAGAAATGATACAAGTAACACTGGAACAGGGTAAAATAAATTGGTGCTATATATTTCAATTAGATTACTGGACTAAGAATTGGTTGAAGAAAAATGGTAAATGCAGAGACTAAATTTGAAGATATAATTTATAGAAAGAAAAACAAGACAGTATGTGGATGAATGACACATAAAATTTATAATATATTACTAGAAAAAGACTTAAGGAATCTTAGAAAATAGATCTAAAAAGAAGTATTAGTGCTGAAGAATGGAATAATATGTAGGATAAGAGTATTTTAAAATTTGTGTCAATAAGAATTAAAGAGAATGTTTATAAACTGGTTTGGAAATGGTACAAAACTCCAGTTAAACTGAATTTATTTATAATTTATTTTATTTATTTGGGTATTTTTTACCCCATCCAATACTCTGCGGGTCTCTGGATGGCTTACAAGTCAAAATCCAATAAATACAAAATATTCCACAACTGAACATAAAACATAGTTACTTACATGAATTACATGAATGATGAATATTCAAAAGTGTGCTGGAGATTCAACCAAGAAATGGGTACATTATTTCCATATGTGGTGGACATGTGAATATATAAATGAGTTTTGGGAAAGGATCTTTAAAGAAATTGGTAAAATATTGAATTTAAATATTGAAGTTGACCCTGCATAAGCATTATTGTCATTATTTAGAAAACAGATGGGACAAAATACTAAAGAATTGATGATAAATTTATTAACAGCAGTAAGATTAATAATAGCAAGGAATTGGAAAACAAAAGGTGAGTATCATATAGCTGACTGGTATAAAGTCTAAAATATAGCAATTAATGCTAAGATAACTTGTGATATTAAAGGGAAAAATGTTTGACAAGTGAAAATATATTTGAAAATATTTGAAGACCTTTTATTGAATACATTTTAAAACATCCTGAGACACAAGTTGTTGGATGGGATATAAAAGCTTTAAATAAATAAATAAATATATAAAATAGGAAAGGGGTGTGAACCATCACAAGAGTCAATGCAGTTCTAGAAGGGAAGTGCGCCAACCTGAATGAATAAATGATCTTATACTAAAGTATAAGACCAGGAATTGTTGGTCCTGGTGGAGGTAGCACTAATGTTGATGTGCTGTTTGATTGTGTTGATCAGTGATGTTTAGTTACAATTGTTGTTATTGTGTTAATTGTATTGTTTTTCTTAGTTGAAAAGAAAACAGTGTAAATAGTAATAAAAATAAAAAAATAAAGCCAGGATTTTGAACTTCTTCAGGGTATTTTGTAGGTCAGGTTGAATTATCTTCCTTGGATCATAAAAAAAAAAAAAGGCATGATCCTTTTCACATTCCTCTTATGGGTTAGGGTTGATTCAGCAGCAGACAAAGGATAATTCCAATGGCGATGGGGGTGCAGAAACTCCTGAGGGCAGTAGCGTTAGTTGAAAACAAGTTAAGACTGGTGGAGGACCTTTCACAGACAACAGTAGTAACAAGCTAACTTTGATTCCTACTGTGCAGAAGAAGGCAATGGTAAACTACTTCTGAATATTTCTTAACTTGTAAACCCTATAATGGAACAATCCAAAAGAAAATGAAAGATAGTGCCAAAGAATAAGATTCCAGGGTTGGAAGGGAATCAACCAGCTACTGGGGAAGACCAAAGGACAAGTACGAATAGTGTTGTCACTAATGACACAACTAGATCAAAAGGAAGTCTAGTGACAGATGTACAGACATGAAAGGAAAGTCTGATGCTGCACATAAAATTGGAACATGTGAAGTATGAATCAAGGCAAACTGGAAACCATAAAGCAAGAAATGGAATGGTGAAACATAACAGTACTATGAATGAACAAACTAAAGTGTACTGGAATGGGACATTTGCAGTCAGACAAACACAAAGTGTTTTACTCTGGAAAAGGCAAACTCAGAAGAAACAGAGTGGCTCTAATACTGAGGCAATGTGTAACACATGCAGTAAAGGGCTATAATACAAAGTCCGACAAAACAGTATTAATCAGAATTCTCAGAAAACCTGTCAATTCAGTCAATGCTCCAACAACAGTTGCTGAAGAAGAGGAAATTGAAAACTTTTAATACAAAGTCCAAGAGGTTATGATTAACACACCTAAACAAGGCTGATAATGGAAAGTACAAGTATGAAACAAAGCAGAATCCAATGTAGTAGAAGAATTGGGCCTAGGGATCAGAAATGCGGCAGGAAAACAACACAAAGAATTCTGTGAAGCCAACAATTTGCTTATTGCAAGCATACAGTTCAAACAACTGATAGGACAACAGCACGTCAACAGGTGGGCAATATGGAAATCAATCTATTTAATTGTAAATAAAAGATGGTAAAAGTGTATTCTCACTGCCAAAACAAGACCAGAAGCAGATTATGGTAGTGACCATGCACTCTTATTATCAAAAATTGGAGTAAGCTGAAAATTATCACTAAAAGAAATACAGTGCGAAAATACATTTTAAGTAATTCTTACTGAGGAATTTGAAGTCCACATAAAGAACAGATTTGTATTACTAAACTCAATTGACTATGAACCAGAGGAACTATGGACTGAAAGGAGAAACATTATTAGTGAAGAATGCCAGGGGCAGAGCCAGCTTGGAATGGATTCCGGACGCTGAAATCTGCACTCCTCCTGATCATCGACAAAAACATGATTAAAATATACTCAAATTAAGATAAAGAAAAACTGGATAAATGTATAAAACTTAAGTCAATTCCTTTGTTTATCTCCTGGGAAGATTTGAAACACAGACGTGGACTAAGAGTTGTTTTTGTGATCTGAAACTGCTTGGCCTAGCACAGAGTAAGCCGTATTTCCGATCATCTACGGATTGAGAAACAGCGTTTATGTTATAAATACTCTGGCTGCTTATTAAAATAAGCTTAAAAACAGCTAGGGAAGTGGAGATAAAGAGAAGGTTACTTTTTTGAAGGATTTTTTTTTTTTTTTTTTTGGATAAGAAGTGACTCTTCTCTCTCCCCCGGGGCAGTTGGAAGGCCGAGAGAATGCCGATACTGAAAACAGTCAGATAGAGCTGTAAAGAATGCAGATTAAAGTTAATTAACATCCCAGGCCTAAGTTTTCTGCTAAGTTGTTTTATTATGAGAAAATAACGAGCAATTAAAAAAAAGCAAAAAAACCTAACAAACAAGTAAGTATGATAGACAAAACAAACTACGTAATGGAATTGCATCTGAATCTGAACTGCACAGGGAGGAGGAGGCTGGGAACTCCAAGGAAAGGAAGCGGTGGGAAGGAGCTGAGGTGCATGTACACCAATGTTAGGAGCATGGGTAATAAGCAGGAAGAGCTTGAAGCTCTCCTGGGAATAGAAGGGTATGACCTGGTGGGAATCACAGAAACTTGGTGGGATGAAAGGCAAGTCTGGAATGTGAACACAGAAGGGTATCACCTTTTAGAAAGGACAGGAAGGGAAAGAGGGGTGGGGGCATGGCTTTATACGTCAGGGAAGGGGTAGGATGCAGTGAGATAGAATGCAGCACAGATGGGGATTCAGTAGAGGCAGTCTGGGTGAAACTTAGGGGTTTTGAGAGGGAAAGGGACCTGACAGTGGGGGTATGTTATCGCCCTCCAGGTCAACTTGAGACCCTGGATGATGTCCTGACAGGCCAGATTCTAAGGATATCTCGGGGGAGAGACACAGTAATTATGGGAGATTTCAGTCTCCCGGATATT